CTTTCTTGTTCTCGTCTTCAGCTTCGCGCGTTCTTGTTTTCCGCCGGGCCGAGGCGATTTTAGGCGAGCGGCTCAAAGTAATGAATTGCCTGCCCTGTCCGGGCCGGCGGACGCCGGCTCCAAGGCGGGCGGCTGCCTGGCCGGACAGGCGACTCGCCATGCGCCCACGCGGGGGACCGGTGTCCGGGTGGCCGCGGGGGCGGGCGCAGACCGGGCGGGCGGGGCGGCTGCCGAGCGGCACGGCCGGGGCCGCGAACTGCGGGCCGTGGCGAAGACGACCGCGGCGGAGGCGGGCGGGAGACCGTAGCCGGAAACCCCCGCCGGAGTGCCACCGCCGAACCGGGCCGCGGGCCGCCGCCGACCGGCCGCTGGGCGTCTCCGGTCGTCTCCGAGAGGCAGCACTGCCCCTGCCCGGGGTGGCCTTCACTGGAGCCCGCCGCGACGCGGCATCGGAAGGGCTTTCGCCGGACGTCCGGGGTCGCCAGGCGTCGCCCGGGGAGGGGCCTACGGAGACCCTCCCGCGCCACGGCCCCGCGTGGGCGCTGGAGCCCGCTGGAGCCGCGCCGCCGGGCCCGGGGAGGGGGCAATTTCATATTTAGCCGCATCGCCCTAAAAATGCGGCCGGCGCCGGAAATAGACGCCTCGGGAGGGGGAAGTCGAGGGGAAGTGGGGGAAAGGAAGGGGAAGGGAGGGGAGGGAGGTAAGGGGCCCTGCTTCGCGCAGAAGCCGCGCCGACCGCTGCAAGTAGGTGCTTCTGTTCTAATGGCGATAATTTATAAGGCAAGTGGGGCTCTCGTCTGGATCACTAGAGACTCTCCGTATACGGGCAGATTCTAAGTTGCAACATCTCCTTATATCCGGTTAAAATTTGGAGTTCACAAAATATTGTAATTCTACAGCATTTTTCTCGTGTTAAATTCGGAGATCTGGTGATGATTCATATAGAAAACACAAATAAATTTACGAGCGGACAAGGGAATTTTAATGAAGTCTAATGAGCAATTTAGAAATAGAAACGTATTCCTAGACTTTCTCTGGGAGTTTTTCCTGCTTTAAGGCAGCTGTGAGCCCGGGTATCAAGTGTCTCTCGGATGACAGGTGTATCCCTCTCCGGAGCACTCGAGAGACATCTCGAGGAAATAATTTATGACAGTCTTAAATTTGGGGGCTTCGTGAGATGATAAGGGAACATCATCGCACTCCAGAGCCGAGCTAGCAGCGGTCTCCCAGTCTCCCTCTCTCTTCCCCGGTCTTTTTTCTCACCGCTCCGCTCGTTCGCACCCGCTCGCGACCATTTGGGGGAGAAGACCCACCTTCATCTCGTCCTCCACTCGGGTGACGTTGAGCAGAGGCTTGACCTTCTGCCACAGCTTCCACCAGGGCCAAGTGCGGAGCTGAAGGTACTTGCGCAGGTTGCGCTGGACGACCTGGAGGGCGATTCTGCGCACGGAACAACACTCGTCTCACTCTCGTCCCTCGAAATGCGTTCCACGCTTCGAGGCCCGTCATTCTTTTACCGTCGTGATAGCTCACATATTAATTGTTTTTCTTAACTTATTTATTTTATTTCTATTGATTTCACATATGTGAGTGTTGCGAGTACTGAGTATAGAAGAACATGATTGAGGGTAGGGAATATAAACGCTCATTTAATGCTCTCCATTTAATGCTCACCATTTAATGTGAATTTTTCTAATATTTCTAGTGTGCTTAGCTTCCTTATTTTTTATACAATTGTATTTATTGTGCTTCTAGAACAGTGTATTTTAATCAGTATTTTTGATTTTCCAACTTTTTGTGACTTCAACCAAACGTTTATTGCTTTGGTTTCGATCCTACACTAGTAGTTCTTTCTAAAGTATACGTTGCATCTTTGCTCGTTTCGTATACATTATCACGTTTTTAAGCTTGAAATCTCTACCTCTATCATATTTCTGAGATGTATATTTTAACACTGTTCTGTGAACATGATTAGTGCCCGAGTTGCTCCCCGAATTCCCCACTTCGATTCGTTTGTTTACGGCTTCAAACGTTCCGCGGTCCCAGTGATGGATGACTGCTATTCGCGGCACTCTCCACGCATTCTTTCCCCCAGCGCCAAGGCCGCCGGCCGACCGTCCGACCGGCCGGGCGGTCGCCCTCGCGTCGTCGTCCCCCGACCCGAAGGCGGAGGAGGACGAGGCAGACGGCGGAGGGCGGCTGAGGGGGCGACAGCTCGGACGCGCGTACATCATCCGCGCACTTCACAACACGTTGACGCGTCTCGCCGCCGCGCTGGCGCTGTAAATAGCGTTCGGACTGGAACCGCCCCCTCGCGGCGGCCCGTTTTAAGCGGCGCCTCTTCTGCTTCGGGCGCCCCGCCCCTCAGTGCACACTCACCCGTCCCCCTCCCCCCCAGCCACCGGAATGCGCAACCCCGACGAGCGTCAGCCGCCTTGGCTTCGTCACCCGTCCTCCCCGTCCCCACCCGTCCCCTCCCGTCCTCTTCCGTCCCCTTCCTCGTCTCATGACCCGCTACACCTGTTGCCGTCTAGCTCGCCCTCGCCGAAATACCCCGCGCCCGGCTTCCATATCTGTAGAATGGACCCGCCGAGGCGTGAACTCACGATACGGTCCCGAGACAGGGCGGAGGTTATAGTGGCTATTTTCGACGAGCGACGTGGCTTTTTCGAGGGTGCCATGGATTCTTGGGATGACGAACCGGTGACGGGAGGTCGGGTTTAACACGAATGTGTCAGTGAGTCAACAGGAAAACATGATAATTTACTAATATTTCGACCGCACTTATTTTCGTATTTCGAATAATTAGTGACGTTATTCATCACAAAAAACAAAAATGCGGCAAATTCTTGGCTCATGAGTTGCGTCTCAATGTACTACTACGCTTTGAAGAAATCTCTAGAATTCACAATCCGTATTTAATATCAGTTTAAATTTATTATATTAAATAGTATTATAAACGTTAAGACCATTGTTTCATTAAGTGTTCTGAATTCTCAAAATACTGTTCTTAAATAGTGCCTTGATACAATCCCAATCTTATTAACGTACTTTTAAAATAGACACATAAGTAATTTCGTTTAAAACAATAAACGAGAAAAAATGGAAAGAGAAAAAATGAGTAGTAACATTAAAAATTTCCATCGAATAAAAGCAATAACCGTAGGCAAATTTCTATGCAGATTAATCACAGTCAAATTTTAATGTCTGAATGAAAGCCAGATTGAAACACTTTCCTTTCTGAGTTTTTAGTTTTTTTAATTTTTCTGTTTTTTATCAGAACTCATTCAAATATAAAATGAAAGGGCATATAGTGTAAATGGGTTCGTAGAGAGAGTCATATCATGTTTAAAAGAATGGGAGACAATGGAAATACGTGTCCAATTTTTTTTTAAAGTCAGTGCAATTAGAATCGCGAAGTAGAGGCTGCTAAGGCCCTGTTCTTTCGCAACAGATGGCCCGCAATTTAGAACGCGCCCTGACGGAGGGAGCCTGGCCGGACGGTAGTCATCGCGCCCGCGGCCCATGTATTTCGTGGCTAACGAGGCGGCGGCCATTAATCTGCCAGGGTGAATCAACGGAGACCGAGCTTTCTCGCAGGCCACACGGGGGACTGTGGCGATGACGGGCACGGCGTTTGCGCAAACAACGTGTGTGCCTCTGCGCTCCTAGAAACGGCGTACTCCGTCTAAATCACGAGTTTTATGTCGCCGTTTACCAGCAAGCAGACAACATCAAACAGAATCGATTGCCTGTGGGGTATATTCGCCCCGAACCGTTTGAAGCCCGAAATAGTTCAAGACTAGGACTTTTTCTCAATTTCAAATGCCTATCAATAACTAAGTTTGTGTAACTGCAATTCACTAAGTTATTAAAGTGTTCATGAAAAATTTTAAATATACATTCATAAAAATATTTAGTGGTGATGAGGGCGGTACTTTCTAAACGTCTCATTTTCAAAAATATTCAAAATTAAGTTTACGTTGAAGTACAAACATTGAGATGTGAAGTTTTTGAAGAACGGAGTACGTAATCTTTGATCCGTATTCTATAATTTTAAGTTCTACAACCGTGAGCCATTATGTCTAAATGACGACGGGTATCGAAGACGTGTGAGCAGTTGGCTTGATAGTCTTTGAGTCGTGACCACAGCCTAGCCACTCACCTCTGGTCCTGCAGCTTCTTGTACTCCTTGCGGGCCAAGTAACCACGGATCCAGGCCTGCATCCAGGAGATGATCTTGCCCAAACGCTCATCACGAAGTTCCTCCATCTGACCCAGGACACCGGCACGGAAGAACACCTGTGGGACGCAGAGGCCGGTTCAGCACATGACCTCTCTCCCGGGCAGGCCTACGCGGCGGCTCTCGCATTTTAGACATTTTACGGCAAAAGTAGAGACAGAAGTCCATGTTTTGAACGCAAATTTAAAGTCAGCGACAGACACTCGTGAGTATATTGTTAAAACCTCTCTACAAAACAAAAATTAGCAATTATATTGTATTTCCTTTCGGATTTCAATAAAGCTGTCGGGTTTTTTGCAATGAAAGTTTACTAGTTTGTTGCATGAATTTTTTAAACCAAATTTATATCTACATAACTGTACAAATAATTTGGTCTCTTAAAAACGCATTCTGGAGTAAATTTGAGATATCTAACTGATTAAAACATACGACAGATGTAAATTAAACAAAAATCGGAGAAATATGAAAAAATATACTATATTTATTAAATTCTACATTTTCCAGTTGAAGGGCAATTTTATGGTTATTTAAGAAAAAAATGGTTTCCCGAATATCATAAAATTATTTTTTTTCAGAGATGCCGCCGATTTTTCGAAGTGGTTTTGATAAACGATTGTTTAGAAACGTCCAACAAACCCCAGGCCACATGGCCGACAGCACTCAAGCGAGCGCGAGGCGAAACAGCGTAGCGGACAAGCACAACACAGTGCGGGGGAACACTTAGGCGGAGAAACAGAAGGCAAAATATCGAAAGGAAAAGGATGTCATGAAAAAGAAATGATGATTGCAGGGGGGAAGTAGCAAGCTGCAGGCAACGTTCAAATACACTCATGGGAGACAGTCAAGGCACACGGTTGCAGGGCTATGAGTCGGATCGGAACCGTGACTACTATGTGAAAGTTTATTTAAAAAATTATGGAACATAAAAACGGCGACTTCAGTTTGAACGAACCAGCGGCATATATTTCGTTGGATACGACGTGCACATACATAACTAAGTTTCAATCCTTCATTTCAATCTGTCATGTTTGATTTGATTTGCGAAACGAGCATGCGGTATAATGGAACATTGAATTAACTCGCTACAACTTGTGTTTGCCACTTGATGATACAAATTCATTGCCAGTGACATCTGTTTCTTTGAAATCACATGTATGCATATATCCTGACTTCCGGTGTTGCCCGTCACGTTCGTTTTGTTTTCCTAACAACCGTGCAGTACAGAGAGCGTGTGCCGGGGGCGGCGGGGCGCGTGCGGGCTGTCCCCGAAGGGCGGCAAGCGCGCGTATAAATAGCGCTGTCACTCGCTCTCATTAATCCGAAGGCAACGGCGGCGGCGGGGCCGGGGCGGGGCGGGGCGGGGCAGGTTCTTGCCGGCGGCCCGGAAATGCGTCCTGGCACGGCGGGCCGGCCAGCCGGGCTCCGGTTTCCTCCGACCCCCGAAACGGAGCCCCAACCGCTGCCCGTCGGGCGCCGCTGCCGTTTCCGCTTTCCCCGACGCGATATTTGTCACCTCCGACGCGCGAAATCGGTCCAATGTTCATCCCGACACATAATATGGCGTCCGTGTCAAGGGAACAGCCATTTTGTTGTGGTGTGACCCCCAAAACAACTGACCTACTCGTTTGTCGAAAAATGAAGAATTTATTGATAAGTAAAAGCATGAATCGAAATGCTATTGGATAAACTAGTTGTCGTGTTGGTTCTACTCAATCAAGGTGAAAACGAAGTTAAAGTTTCATCGACATGTAAAAGTGAAATTTCATGTTAAATTTTAAAAATATTTGATACGTTATTAAACTGGAAAATAATTTCGAAATATGTTTGATAATATCGCGAGCGAGAAGAATTGGACTAAATTTTGAGACAAACTGAAGGGGAAAAATAGTGTGGTTTAATTTGTCTGCGGGTCATAACTACGTTTCGTAAGTTCTGAAAAAGAATTCTGTCGGCCCGGTGTGTGCTGGCGTCCGTTTCCCAAGTCACGATATTTGCACGCAACATCGCCCGAGCGAAGGGCGCATGAATCAACGTGGCGTCCCAATCCTTTGAGCCTCTCTCTCCTTCACGCTCATTACGTCCCTCGTCGCCTGCTCTACACCTCGTTAGAGCCGCCCTACCCCTGCGCCCCCACCCCCCGCATTCCGTCGACGGAGAAAAGCGCGTGTCGCTGCCAGAGGCGGTCACCCGCTAAGCGACCTGCACCCCCGCGACGCGGCGGCAGCTGCCCGGAACCGAAAAGGAGCCCAGGGTCGAGAAACTTTCAGGGCGATTTCTGGCCTCCTGTCTTTTAGGGATACTAATTTATAAACTTATTAACATAAACATAAAATATTATCTTTCATGCATCTGCAATGTACGTGGAAACTCGTTATAAATTAACCGTACAAGTCAATTGTTGATGGAAGTTAAAATTACTTCAATCTTCATTAACGTACCCCTCTCATGATCAATTCTTGGAATGGCTAAAGATTGATGACTGAAGCGGCACGATACAATTTTGAAAGAATTTAATAAAGGTTCCAAATAGAAAATTGGCATAACAATCTGCTAAAGAGGAAGAACCTAAGTCATCTAATTTGCGACACAGCACACGCGTGAATACAGGAGAACTTTTTTCTCCCGGCTCGATAATTAATTTAGCGAAAAGCAAAATGGCGGTTAGCTCAGCGTGGGCGCGAGGCCGCGCGTGCGGCGCGGAGCGTTTCCGGAGGTCGTTAGGGAGGGCGTGCGCCTCGTTAAGATCGCGGCGAGCGTTGCTGGCGAGCGTAGACGCATTTAACGGAGCGTGGGTGCGGCGCAGGGTTGAGGTGGCACCGCCGTCGGATGCGAGGGGCGCCGGGGCGGGCAGGGACGGCCGACGTCCTTGGCGACCGAAGGAAGCCCCTTTGACGTCATCGCTAACAAGAAATCGCGTGGCATCGGTTTGATATAGCCAGGAGGCCAGGCAAGCTACCGTTTGCGAAACGCGGGGGAGGTTTGGGCTAAGCGATGTCAGATGCAGGAAGTATTTCTGAATAAGCACAAGGTGACACGCGGTGGAATGAATCATCATGTGAATTTACGAAAAGATTTCAAACATTTCATAATATTCGTTTCAATGATATGTCGTACTGTACTATCAATATAAGCATTCGTTCTTTGTATTTGCACAAATATTGGAATTTTAAAGTTATAAGGCCGGTAATTTATTACGATAGTTACAGGATGCATAGAATTGTCCCAAAAGTACCCAACATGAGAGAAAGACTCAAGCAATGGATATTTGATCAAATTTTTTGAACATTTTTTCGTTCTAATTTATCACTGGTATTATCTTTTATTTATATCTACTTGTGCACGCATATCGATTTATATGAATTGTTATTAATGAGCTACGGTTCGTTTTCTACATTTCAGAAAAGAAATTTCGAAGACAATTAAGGGCGATGGTTTTCTCGTTGTCCACAATGCGAGCTTAATCGCGCTGTCTCCCGTCTCCACAAAGCCCCCAGAGCTGCGCCACAGACCCGGCCGCCTGGCAGGCAGCGCGGGGGCAGCGAGACACAAGGCTCTACCTTGGTGTTGCCCATGCGGTACTGCTCCGTGTCGATCTGAACGTGCTCCATAATGACTTGCGTGGCGTCCCGCGGGTTGGAGATCTCCTTGACCAGGTTGGAGCACAGGATAGTGTATCTGGGGCAGAGAGGGGCGTGCGGGCGCGTGACAGGGGGTGTGTGAGGGGGCTCGGGGAGTCTGTCCTTGCCCCTCCAGCCTCCCCCGGGGGGTGTGCCACGCGCCGCGCGGCCCGCGCGGTCGCCGCCCCCGCCCCGTCTGCGCGGGCGGGCGACGCCGCCGCCAACGTGCAAGGGACAAGCTTGCAAAAGAAAAGACACACGGGCGGGGCGGGGTGGGGTGGGGCAGCTCGGGGCGGTCTGCGCCCGGCCGCCACCTGCCCGAGGGGGCTTGGCCGCGACGGCGCACCTCGCCGAGACGCAATACTCATTCAGCGGAAAAGCAATTTTCATTTATTGAATTAATAAAACATCCTTCTATTTCATTTGAATTCTCATGACGATGCCTAAGAAGATGCAGGACGATTGTATCAACACTTATTTTTCGATAAGAAAATAAGAATTTCAAATTTCAATACTTAATGACAATACAAGTTTCTGGAGTCGAAAACGTTCTTTAAAAAACAAATTCATTTCATAATAATTTATCATATCAAAAGTTGCGCATCTCTTAGGTCGCCAATTGTTTCTTTCCGCCATTGACTTCCGATCGCGAGATGTTAAGCTACCTGGCTCAAGACTGTTGAAATGCAACTTATGTTGTATGATCCATTATAATGAACTATCTGTCAACCTGTAAGCGCTGCCCCTTACAGGCACAGAAGTTCCAAAAAACCAGTTCCTTACTGTATGAAATAAAATGGCTGTAGTAAGGAGAGTTTGGAGAGTTTTGAAAGCCCAGGTAAGCTATCTCCGGCCAATCGTGCCGACGGCGGCAGCGCGACAGTCTGGAAGCGTCTCGGCGCGTGCGCCGTGCTCCGCCGGCGCCGGCCACGGTCTGCGCGGGCGGTCGCTGAAAGAGAAGGCGGGGGAGGTCCCGCGCGGCGGCGCGCCCCGCTGTCAGCGGCGGGGGCCCGGTTCGCCTCTGCGCTGGAAGAGAGAGAGAGGAGAGAGAGGGCGAGTGGCCGGCGCCCGCCGGCAGGTCTGCGCCGGGCGGGGTCAAGGGGCATGCGCTGCGGCGTCCTGTCGCCGCAGTTGAAGGTGGTGGAGAAGGGGGGCGCCGTTGAGTTGTCGCCGCTGACTTCATCGGGCTTCCGAGGCACTAGTTCACGTCGTGAATGGCGTAGAGGTAGAAGATAGCTTAGGCATGGCAATCGTCATTCGTGCTGAGTAATGTAAGATACCAATAGAGTCAGTCAGTTTCATGAACGGATTTCATTGAAACTGTATTTATTACAAGTGCTATCAGGATGTTGCTCACAAATAAATCCAATGTTTGAGGATCACGAAATGCAAGTATTGACCTTCGAAGAGCCTGCAAATTCCTACCTAAGCTTTTACTTCAATTTATTTTATCTATATTATATACAATCACGAAATAAAATGTATGATTATTTAGACTATACTTTCAGATGTATTTACAATAATGTTGAAAATAATTTTGATAAACCATTATTTTTATTCAGGAACTATTTAGAACGAAAGAGTTCAATAAATATTACTGCGCCTCTGTAATGCATTTCAGCTATTGTTTAAATAATAGACACGTCAGACAAATGAACTAAAATAGTAATTCGGTTTGTTCCTCGGCATAAAATATTTTGTGTGCCTCTGAAGCAGATGGTTCGGCTGCGACGAGCAATGGCGCCAGCACTCAAATCCAAAAAAAAAAGAGAGAGAAAAACTCGTGTCGAAGTCGAGAGCGCCTCCACCCCCCGCGGTGTGGGCCGAGGGGCGGAGGCGACGTCAGCCGGTGACGTCAGCGGCAGCCAGTGGCGGAAACAGCCGTCGCGGACGGTGGCAAACTCCAAACACAACACTACATGCCTTTGTGTGACCCAGGCGGAAACTCTCGGCATCCAAGTTCACGGAGTCCAGGATGTTGCCGGCGGCTTTCTTCAGGTCATCACCAGCTGCGTCGACGGCCTGAGGGGCTAGAATCTTGTATCTAGCGTGAAACAGGCGGCAACAACACACATTGGAACAAGTCCTCTCGACCCCCGGCACGCGTCGACTCGCGGCCGGGCTCTACGCATGCTGGGGGCGGGCCAGGGGCAAGTCTCGGGGAACGGGGGCAACAATACCATACCGTAGTGGGTCGAAATCGAGGCAACGATTATGCATTCAGGTATGAAGTGCTTTCGGAGACTGACAACCTTCAGCAGTTTCTCCAAACCGTGCAGACTTACTGTAATAAATAACAACTGAGGGAATAATATTTCAATAGAGGGTGTGACATTTTTATGTAAAATGCTTTTGGAGACTGTGACCATACAGTCGTGTTTCCACGGATTGTGATGAGATGGGGGGGCCAAGTAACATCTCGGATCATGCCAACTGAGAGAGAGAGAAATAGAAAAGAGAGAAATAATATGGAGAGAAGAGAGAAGAGTGAGAAACAGAATGTGATATGGGGGGGGGGAGATCAATTCTCGGGGTCACGGCTTGCCTTGGTGTGACCGATGCGGTAGCTGTCAGGGTCCAAAGCGACGGCTTCCAGACACTTAGCAGCAGCGGTCTTGGGGTCCTTCTCAGCCTGCATGATGGCGGGCGCAAGGATCATGTAACTAGACATAGAGCAGCGACCGAAGTCAGAGAAACGGAATTTGAGAAAGAATGGCTCGTGCAGAAGAGGCGTGAAGAAGAACGACGTGCATGGTTTCAGGGTGAAAAGAAATACGACAAGGTGCATTCAGCAGAAGAGAAAGAGAAATAGTAAAGAAATTACGAGGTATCTGAATAGAAATGGAATATTTTAAATAATGAACCTAACTACTTTCCTCCTATTGTTTCAGCGACGGGGAAAGTAATAATTAATGATTAGAATGTGTTGCCTAACTTCAACAGGTACAGTTCTAAGAGATACAGTTCTTCAAAAGATAGAGTTATTTTAAAAATTATGAATATTTCTATTTAAGGGGAATATAGATACTTCTCGTAAATTTGTTACTTCTTCAAATACTAATACTAATCTTCCATAAATATATATATTAAATTCAATAGGACATGTCACATATGACCTATTTGTAAAGGAAAAAGAAATTGTCTACCAGTTGGGGCCTACATTTACGGTTATGGGGAAGTTCGAGACCAAGGAGTTCCCCGAATCGAAGGGGTTGGTGGGCGTCGATGCAGGAGCTGACTGTGAAGAGAAAGGGCCAACTGGGGCCATGCATTAGATCAAACATTTACAGTGAGATGAGAGCAAGGCTGGCTTGTGGTAGGTGTTCTACAATTCTGCTAACACTAGCTGCAAGTGCTTATGTCACTCAGTAGTCATATCACAAATTCAGCCAGCGTTGCACTTCATCAGTATACTCTTCAGATTATTGTTGACAATTTAATATAGGTATGTCTCTTCCATACTTTTATTACATAATGTGAATGGTTTCGTGTGTGTAAAATAAGTTCTGTAGCAATGTATATTTTATGTGATAATGAGAAACTATGGATTTTGCCTAAGAAATAATTTATTTCTTCAAGATATAAATATGTAGTCCTTAGGTGCATGTTTGAATGTGAGTGGCAGAAATATATTTTATTCAAATTTCGTATTTGTGAGTAATTATACAACAGCTTAAAAGGTTTCGCTCCTAAGTGAATGTAAAAGTTTTTAGAGAAAAGGTTTAGTTAAGAGTATGAATGCATTAGATTATAAAGTATTGAAATGTATTTGTAAATGTATGTGTGTCAGATGTGTTTACCTACCGGAGCTTGAAGTCAGGGTAGACCATACGGTTGGGGAAGCCCTTACGGCAAATACGGATGCCTTCAAGTACACCGTTGCAAGTGAGCTGATGCATTACCAGGTGAGAGTCAATAAGACCTGTTAGGAGAAAAAAACGCCGAGTCAGTGCTTGTAAAGAGGTTAAGAAACAATGAAAAACATTGGAAATATACCGAGTGTAGTTTGTACTGAATATTTTCATGGGGAACCCTAAACCTAGATTCTTGCTAAATTTATTTGTAAATATCATTCCTGCCAATAAATGTTAAAAAATTGTACAGAGAATTAGTTTTAATACATTCTACGTCCTTATTTCAAATTGTTTCGTTTTACTTTTCTCTTAGAAGAATGCCCTAAATGCTAGGTGGAATTCTACGCATCTGCAATCCGAGTATACAGTTCTACCAGAAATGAATATTTCGCGAGGAAGAGTTTTGTAAATGCATTTTGCAGAACACTAGTGTTGAGCGTATTGCCTGATGTCACTGCAAGGCGCAATAGCTTTGTGAAGGAAAGGCCTCAAAGAGACTATGTGCTCACTCTAGCGGGGAAATTCACAATTACTGTATAGATCGTTGTGAAATATTCTCTACAATCCTCACGAGTTAATGGAATATAAAATATTTGGGTCTCTCCTACTTTGAATACTCTGGTAATAATAGTTTACTTGCAAATAATTACATTTAATAGAAATAATTAGTCTTAGGAATCACTAAGAGGTCTTCGACTTTTGTGTTGATTGTAAAATGTGTGGACAGTACTATGTGAAGTGGGATACCAACCTGCCTGCTTCAACTCGTTGGGGATGATACAACGCACAAAGTGAGGCTGTGTGCTCTTCAAGGTGGTCATCAGGTTGTTCAGCTGCTCCTGTAAGTCCAGGAAATGGCGATGTAGAACTTTTGCGGGAACGGAGTTTTGAGATTGTTTGTAATAGGCTGTCTTATTCATAAAAATCATGGCCCGAAATTTTTTTTATTCTACTCAGCCCGCGAAAGCCCGTTAATTTTTGTTCTTGAATTGAAGAAAAAGCTTAATTTTTCTCTAAAAATGGTAATCGTTTGCCTTCATGTATTCAAAAAACTTTTTTTATATAATAGCATTTTACATCAATATTATTTTTCCAAAATCTTGCAACAATTATCTTAATGTTCATAAAACATCTTGAAAACAATTTATGCACAATGTAAGCAACATGCGCTCTCTTAAAGAGAGATAAAATATTTGAAGAACTATTTATCTATTTGAACTTAACATGCGAAGCTTAGAAAGTGATCTTGTCAAGGTATATCACTCGTGTCATGCTCATTTCGAGTTATCGTCATGTTCATCTCGAGGCAGAGCAAAATGTTTTTCACTGTTTCATACAGTGTTGCCATCCGCTGTTTCAGTCTCCAAGAAACAAGGACAGCGCAGTGCATGACATTTTAACGTACGGGAACCAAAATGCAAAAATCAAAGGGTTATGAAGTCAAAGGATCAAAATCAAAGGACAAACCAAACTCAGCTGTATGGTGAGTGGTGGCCGCTTGAGTCGCATGCTCTATCTGTCTGAGACAACGCTGTTGCGTGAGTATGCGACCGTCACGGTAAGTAGTTTTTCAAAATTGGCAAGATGAACTTAATTCTAAGATTGAAATATGCAAAATTAACAGAAACTAAAACCAAACTTTTGTACAAAATCAAAAGTCTAGGTAATTCAAACTGCATTCTTCTATTTCTGCATTCCAACCAAACTGGAAGCTGATACGATACTGCATTCAAAATCAATGTAAAACCATCTACATCAGACTACAATATTTGCGAATAAATTACCACTATGTAACGTACTGTGGAAGTAAAGTACGATGGCTCAACAGACAGATACTGCCATGAAGTAAAGAGCGCAGTGTTCCTGTATGCTGAGCCACCCAACGACACCCCACGCTGCTTGTTACAGGGGCATCGTGGGAGAAACACACACACACACACACAAAGAGAAGATAGAATATGCAAGCTGGAAAAGGCAAACATGCTGCAACTGGTGGCCAACCCCGTCTTGAGGAGCTGCCACTACACCATCTGCGACTGGTGGTGGATGTTACAACTACACTGCAGTGTGATAGAAAAGTAAGTGAAATGTTCTTCTTGTAGCAATAACTAACGAATAAAGTATTTCTCAGTGTAAATCAATTAATTCGCCTGAAAAAGAGTGTGCTGCGATTTATTAAGGGAAATATTTTAAGTTTAAGCAAAATACATTATTGTGCAAAGTTTCTTACTTTCTTTTAACAATAAAATTCGTTTGAGTGAGTAACGGATCTCCTTTCACTATTTGAAGAAAATAATGTCGACACTCGTATAATTATTTACGGTTTAATTACATTTTTAATGTAATGATAAATTATGTTTTCAAGTGAGAATATGTCCAATTCATTTCAACGTTTTAGCTCACTGAAGTAAATTTAAAAACCCCAATGATTGGTTAAAATAATTCTTTTTTCTTGATTCTAATTTCAAATGAGTAGAAAGCTTAATTTGCTTTAAGGGCACGATGTATGATATTTTGATCGATACATATATCAATGATTCACTTAAACCTACTACGAAATTCCTAATTCGACTTATGTTAATGTTTAGTTGTCCTCACGTTAACCAAGAATCCTACAGAAAATGAAACAAGCTTCGTCACCAGGCCACTGTTCCCGAGGCCATCTATTCGCAGAAGAGCTCAACATCCACCAGCAGCAGAATCAGGCCAGGCAATGGGTATCGGCCACCCGAGAAGAAAAAAAAACACACTCCACGCGGTCGATCTACTACGCCGTGCAGGGCGGCCGGGCACCGGGACAAGGCCACCCGACCGCCTTGTACCGGAGACGGAGAGCATAACACGGACCTTGTAGGAGGAGGACACAGTGGCGAAGCCACCGCCCTTCTTGCCACGGCCACCTGTTAGACAGACAACGAGCGTGAAAAGCTGCTGCGACGAGAGCTGGCACGGGGCGACGCCGCCGCCAGGCCACAAAACGCCGAGCTCCGCACAGGATCTCAAGCGCCGTTACTCGGCAAGCAATTACTACAGCCACCTCAAACACTCAGGTTTGCATTTTAAGCTCAAGATATGATCCTATTCAAATGTTCACAAAATATCTAAAATAATATCGTGAATAGTTTTGAATATTTTTGCTTATACATTGTTTATAGTAAATGTATATGCGCATGTTACAGGCCGTTTTAGGATAAAAAAGAATAACTTCGTCGTTTCAGTCACTTGAGATCTCGTATGCGAGACGACAGCGTCAGTGAACACTGGCAAAAGCGCGGTTGTCCAGCGGTCGTCACTCAGTGAGGAGCAACATTGCGAGGTGACGAGGAACACTGAAAGGAGTTGTGAGGATATGTGGAAGAGAGAGTGAGAGACAGAAACAGATAGTGAGATGAAGCTCCAGCGGAAAGTGAGCCAGAGAAAGAGAAAGAGCGGGTGAGTGACAGTGAGAGTGAGAGAGAAAGAGAGAGAGAGAGAGAGTGAGAGCACGGGCCCGGCTCGTCGCGGCGAGTAGCGGGCGTGGGTAAGTGTTTACCCTGTGCTTCTGGGAGACGGACTGGAAGGCGGAGCCGAGGTGGCGCTTGGTGGCTGCTCCTGGAAAGTCAACGCACTTGAGCAAGGATTTCGGCGCGCATTTGAGCCGCCATCTTGCCTCACACCCCGTGTCGCCGCCGGTTGGTCAACTCGTAAGCATTTGTGCTCATCTCTTACAAAATTGCTAATGAAGGTGAGCAAGCCCATATTTTTAAACACTCTCGATACCATAAGTTTCTATCCCAACGTTGTATTTGAATTAAAAATAATGATACTTTATGAATGAAATACTTTATTCATCTTGCTGGAAGGTATCGTTTTGGTTAAGCAAAACATTATTTATTTTTATCAATCAATCTAGTGAGCGCTAATTAGCATATCTCCACAACTTTTATTCTATAATTTTGTTTTCATGAATTTGATCCGAAAATAAGTATTAGAATTATAAGGTATTTATAATATTTGTTTGCTTTCTCAAATGAATTAATGATTGAAGTAGTAGAGCTTGATATTTAATTTATTTAACTAAGTAAAGCTTCTAGTCATATGGATGACATTTCAGAATTTCACTTCGATAAAATCTGAGTTGAATATCCAACCCGGCTCTTAGAGACATGGAAGTGTTTTGCAAGTGAGAGGATTTCATTCAGGACCGAGTCGATGAGTATGATCTCTATTTTAATACTATTATGTATTCCCTGTATTGATAGTACTGAGCAACAAAATGAATTAAAAGTGAGAATCCCCCCTCATTTCTGCATCTCGTTTTAGGTAAAATTTGTGTTAAGTAAATAATTTGGTCTGTCAAAATTTGTTCACATAATTTTATGAGCATTATTAATATATTTAACGTTTTAGAAGTCCAAAGGTTTATGAAATGTTTCATATGTAAACTAAGTATTCTTTATCATAAGAAACCTTACTTTTATGTATGTATCTTGGTTGGATTCGTGTGTTCATATGACAAATAAATTATGAGCAAAATGTAGAAGTTTTTGTTATCTACGAGGTGTACCATGTTAGCTACCTATTTGGGTATATGACCCATGAGAGTGTATATTTACCCTTGCCACCACCGCCACCGGCTTCAGCAGCACCGGACTGGCCAGGATGATCAGCGAAGATCTCTACCAACAGTTTGTTGGAGGACTTCTTGAACTGGTCGACAACAGTGTCGTTCAAGGGGTCCTTGTTCTTCTCAAGCCAGCCGGTGATGTTGTAGGACACCTGAGTCAGACAAAGACAAACATTAGACCCTCCTGAAAGGGTTAAGTTTAAGGGCAGAGAAACATGGGTTTCGACAAGGATTTGAGCATGAGCGGGAATGACATTTGAGCTGACATTTAATTGGGAAAAATGTGAGAAAATATAAAAATGTAAGTCATTGAATGTATTACAATAACTTGGAATTTTTTACGATTAAAATAATGTTAAATACGTTTGATTAACGAAATTTTTAGAATTAATATTTTTTAAGACTTCATTCTTGAATATCTACGAGAATTCAAAGATGCCTATTAGTTTACTTAAAAAGAATACATTCATTACCAAGGAACATTTTGACTTCTTATTTAAGAGACAAGAGCCACACGCCTTCGTGCGCAAACAGTGTGTACTTACAGTGCCGGCATAGTGACCGATGGCGAAGTGGGCCGCAACCTGGCCAGGCTTGGGGGGCTTGGGCTTCTGGAAGTTGGGAGACTTGCCCAAGTGGTGGCTAAGCAACTTCTCCTCAAAGGTCTTGTCAGTAGCCTTGGGGAACATAGACTCTTCCTCCAGGATTGACAAGATACCCATAGGCTGTGAGGGAAATTGAACAAGTGCCGTGAGCGCGTTATCTTTGACGGGCAGCGCAGAGTGGCAATATTTTGCCCTGACGCTCGTGGGCAGGTCGTAAGAGACACGGATTGAATTTTATACCAAAACCAAATACGAATTCACGGAAATAATTTGTATTTAATCTGCGAGCTTTCGTGATAAATTAAAAGAAATGATAAATTTCGCGAATATTAAATTCCTCTTGTGGAAATCAAAAGATATTTGAGGAACGCATGTAAAAATAAACCTTTTTTAACATTTTCTGCGGAATTTTTTAAGGATTGTATGCTAAAAATATGAAAAAGTCTTACACGACAAGCCGTTAACGTCAGGACTATGGCCAATCGCTCTGACTAACCCATTTTATTCATTCATGCCCGTGCTCCCGAATACACATTGTAAAAAAAGAGCACGTGTACGATGTCGTTCACTTACAGATTACATACAACAATGGGGTAGAGGATCTACTGACTAAGGAACGATTAGCACTCACTGCTCCTGTGTCCTCCGTTTTTGAGACATTGTCCTTCGAAATTTTAAAATATTGAAATTGTAAGAAGTAATCGCGAATGCACTGACATGGGTCTAAAACTTCTAAGTTTTTTAATTTTATTTTCATTATGTCTGAGGAAAACAAATGAATTTCACTAATTCCCCACATTTATTGGCTGAATGGGATTATAATCGTTCCAATTTAATCGTTACTAGTGAGTATGTTCAAATTTTGAGTCAGTAGTTTTCGTATAGATCAAATTACATTTATTATTCATAAAATATAATTCAGGAATATCAAAGTGATATCGAATTTTATTTTTTATTCCATGAGAAATTGACTAAGCAACAGAAGTGACAGAGTTTTGTTCTGTGACGAGGAGGACGCGGGATGCAACGCCCCGCCCCGCCCAGCGCGCCGCGCCGGAGCGGCACGTGGCGGGGGCGGGGCGGACAGTTAGCGGAGCACGGCGGCGGGCGAGGCAGGCGGCGGCGCTGTCTGGCTACAAGCGCAAGGCCACGTGCGAGCTACCACTAGCGAGCTACGACTACCGCAACGACTAAGGCTGCGCCGCCACCCTCACCGCGGCTCCCGGACGCTCCCGGTGCGCTCGGGACGACGGCGGACGCGTCACGTGATGCCTGGGCACCCTCGAGAGACGATGGATGTCTTAAGGCGGCTGTACACATTTGGCAGTCGCCGAGCAACGAGATACTGCTTGCCCAATCCCGAACAGCTGATGTGTTCGGCGAATATTGATGCGCCCAAAAGTCTGACACGCAGTGAGTAGGGCGAGCATCGAGTGTTTGTCACTCGACAAATAGCAAGACACGTCCACACTATCCGGGATTCGGCGAACAGTAACTCACTACTCACCGAATTACGAATGTGCGGAGCAGCCTTTACAAGGAACGGATAAACGTTTTGAGCCCTCACCGCGCCTCTTAGTACACGATATTCCCTGCTGACGCGCGGTTGCTCCTGAATAGCGCTTGGATTGTGCAGTCATGTCCGGGGAATTTTATATATATCGAAAAAATTTGGAAGACGAGATACCGTTGTCAAATTGATTTCATTAATTCCCAACATTTATTAGATGAATAGGGTTTTAGCTTTTAAATATTGCTAGTGACTACAAATTCTAACGACCATTTGTAGAATTTTAAGTAATTATTCAAGATTTCTTGATTTTATTATCAATACTGATAATTCATGCAAACAGCATGTGAAATGACACATAATTTCAAGCAAGTTAACGAAAAGACAAATACAAAATTTAAAACTGAAAACGCTTCAGATATTTGGTAAAATAGACCTGATAAAATCTGATAAAATTAGAAATATGAGATCAGATGGTGACGAACGTCTAGCACTACGCGCGCAAACACATTGTCTCAGGTCGACGCGTCCGCCATCTTCCACCGAGCGCGGAGTATGCTTATCTACAAGTGCTACACCAGTGACACGGACGGGGGCGGGGGAGCTTACGACTAGCTTACCTCCATGGGGTGCAGCCGTGCGGCTGTTTCGTGCGACCGCGAGCGTGATTGTGTGTGGGGATAGGTGTAATTTTGATGGTCATGGCGAGATACTCGTGAGCACCTGAATATCACAGACGGATCTGCTGTTCGTACTACGTTCTAGCCAATCTCCAAACCACAAAATGCAAAAGCAAAACATGCAAGCGCCGATGCTATGTGGCGAAGGGCTCAACTGATGCTTGTGCGCTGACACTGGTTGATGTGGCAGTACCTGGTTATAGGTTATCGCGATATGCAAAATACAGGTGTAGTTTTCGAGGATTGCCAGATGTGGAGGTTAGAAAAAAATACTACGAAAATCTCCCTACTCGTTACACTCAACTTGATTACGGCGATTACTTCATTAAGAATACGTTATGATATGCAAGATTAAGAATTACCCAAAAGTTTGCTTATACGTTTACGATTAAGGTGATTACTGTCTCGAACTACTGTCAACAATGCTTTACGCCTAAGCTACTCGTGCGTCGGCGTGAGCGACAGAGCATCGTACGCTCTCTGCGCCGACCACCCGGCTACCTTCTCAATAAGGTTTATCGTCTCCTGGAGGTCCATGCCAAAATCTATGAAGGTCCATTTGATGCCTTCGCGTTCGTACTCTTCTTGTTCGAGAATGAACATGTGGTGGTTGAAGAACTGCTGCAGTTTCTCGTTCGTGAAGTTAATGCACAGCTGCTCGAAGCCATTGAACTATTTCAAAACGGAAATTTTTGTGTAATGTTAGCGTAAAGTAACGTAGGTCAGTTTGAGTTCAAAATGAAAAATAAAATGTTTACAGTATTCGTTTAAAAAATCATTTGGATAAAAATATCAGCATTGATGGACCGCTTGAGCAGAGTCAATCGCGACGGGCTGTGTAGGAGGGTATATTGACACATCGAACAGCACAGAGACAGGCAAGACAAGCGATAGCCGCTTAGGTCACAGAAAGCTCCAGCGAACCTGAAAGAGCACACAGAAAGTAATTGTGCAAGACACCAGAACAGCCAGTTAGTCAAACATCAATGGGCAGTCGCGCCGGGGAGTGTTGGCCGGGCGTAGCGATCCATCGATTGATTGATCGATCGACCGACCGACCACTCGAACGATCGCCACGCGACACCGTCACTCCCAGCAGAGCGACCGTCTCCGGACAGCGCAGAGGACGCCGAACCAAAGGTCCCGCTGTCCGGTACCTTCTCAATCAGATCAATGCAAGCCTGAAGGTCCAAGCCAAAGTCAATGAAGGTCCACTGAATTCCTTCTCGTTTGTATTCTTCTTGTTCAAGAATGAACATGTGGTGGTTGAAGAACTGCTGCAGCTTCTCGTTGGTGAAGTTGATGCATAACTGTTCGAAGCTGTTGAACTGTCAAGGGTGGGACAGAAGGTTAGATCGCCTGAAGGCCACTCGCGTGCTGGCACGACCGTGCAAGGGGGGATTGCGGGAGAGAAGAGGGTGCGGGGTTGTTGTCGGAAGTCGGTGGCAGGCGTACACCAACCCGACAGGCAGGCAACACACACCAGGCAGCACACTCCGACGGCACCGCGCCAAACCTGGGCGGGCGAGCGGTACCCGCAGAGCCCGGTATCCTGAGAGCTCAGCGAGTTACCTTCTCGATCAGCTCAATGCAAGCCTGCAGGTCCATGCCAAAGTCAATGAAAGCCCACTCGATTCCCTCGCGAGTGTACTCCTCCTGCTCCAGCACGAACATGTGGTGGTTGAAGAATTGTTGCAGCTTTTCGTTCGTGAAGTTGATGCAAAGCTGCTCGAAGCTATTGAACTACAGGGTAGGTGCACAAAAAATAACAAATGTCAGCCTCGCTTGTCTCATTGGCGAGAAGACAATTTGAGAGGAACCACAGGAAGGGCCACCGAGCGTCGACTCTCGCCAGAAGAGTTTCCGAAGGCGAGAACGAATAGTAATCCTCGCTGTCGGAAACGTCAGCAGCTCAAGAGTCGAGCAACGATACACCCACTTTCCCGTCGGCAGAGTGATCGGTTTGGGAGGGACGCAAACACACACAGGGGAAAACACAATGTACAAAGGGAGTCGGCGACATTCCAAATGTCTTTTGCCGGCTTGCTACTACAGGCGGCCGTGGGTGCCACCTACATTTCCCATGCGTGGCACCTGCGGTCCGCCGGGATCATGCTGGAAGAGAAAGATATTAAGTGTAACCGGTGTGTGGCTGTTGACCGGTAGTGGTTCACCTCGGGCATTCCAAATGCTGGGTGCCACCTGCAAGAGAGTGTAGCATTTAAGAAAGTCACCGTGACATTCCATATGCTCGGTGCTTCCGTTGGGGCCAGGGAAGGCACTACGGTGTGTGTCTTGTTCTCACGAGGACCAAACCTTGGGAGCGGTGTCTCGGGCGGCGACTGACGATTCTAGGCGAAAGTCGGCCCCGAGGTTACCTTCTCAATCAGTTCAATGCAAGCCTGCAGGTCCATGCCAAAGTCAATGAAAGTCCACTCGATTCCTTCGCGTTTGTATTCCTCCTGCTCCAGGACGAACATGTGGTGGTTGAAGAACTGCTGCAGTTTCTCGTTGGTGAAGTTGATACACAGCTGCTCGAAGCCGTTGAACTAAAACGGGTTCATTGTGATCCAGAAAGGTACATAGTTAGAAAAGAATGGTAAGACTGTTGGACATTGGACAAAGGACTGACACACGAAACGGAAATGGACGTTCACACAAACACGGACACAGGGAAGGTAGTTTGTAGTTTCTTTTCTCTCAGCTGTCCCAATTTGCTGCAAATGTTAATGCTGTTAGTGGTTGTAGACGTTACTAGGTTACCTTGCAAGCTACGTACCTTCATTGGATGCACTATGTACAGCGCGTTTGCAAGCGAAGAATTATGCTATGCTTTGCCCCTATGGCGTATACTCCTCCTTCAAATACAGCTTTTTACATTATATTCAGCCTTTCATACCACATCGTGATGGTCTCAAATTTGTACTTAATATTGCGGTTATTATCTATTATAGCAGGATTAGATAAAAGCTACAAGTATTGAAAGACAAAAGAGGCTTAGAAGTACAAATTAGAAGTCCCTCAACGACTTGGCTGAATTTTGCTGTGCTAAGTGTTACTTTTAGGCTACCTTCTCAATCAGCTCAATGCAAGCCAACAAGTCCATGCCGAAGTCAATGAAAGCCCAAACAATGCCCTCCTTCTTGTACTCTTCCTGCTCGAGGACGAACATGTGATGGTTGAAGAACTGCTGCAGCTTCTCGTTGGTGAAGTTGATGCAAAGCTGCTCGAAGCCGTTGTACTACCAAGCAAGCGTTTTCATATTTAATCTCTACCAAGACGACGATTTTTATGCAATAGGTTTAATTTTGTATCTAAGCAAGGCGCTAGTTAGTGAAATAAATGTGTTAATGTTAGAATGAATGTTGCTACTTGTGAAATACGAATATAATGTACATATAGAGAAGCTGTTTTATAATTGTTACAAAATTTTAAAAGTGATTTAAAATGTCTGCAAAAAAGTCTTTTAAGAAATATATTTAAAACATATATTTTATCAGTATTCAAACACAAAATAAAACGTTTAAACAAAAAACTGTATAATGTAAAGGAATGTGGAAAATTAGGTCCTGTAGTAGGGATTTGAGCTATTCACATTGCTACATACAACTAAGTATATCAGTGTAAGTACATTGAATGACATATAACATAAATGATACAGTAATACTGAAACAAAGAAGTATGTCAGTTGAACAATAACACAAATGTCCTGAAAATCTTTTCAGAAGTTGTAATTAAGTCAATGTGTGGAGAGAGACAGAACTCAGATTCCAATAAGCTAACAAAAGTAAACTAAATACATTTTCATTTCATTTCTATATAAATTATAAATGCGTATTACAAAACAATTAAGCAAGTGACTTCATTTTCAAGTGAAATGATTTGTGACTATTTGTAATAAACAGTTTGAAAGTCAATATTAATGTCAATAAGAACTTTGAGCTTGTACAGTTTCAAATCAGAATAATGCAATTAATTTTATTTCAGTCTCATGAGTTAAACTTTGATATGTTTTCCATTTTCAAGTGTGTAAAATGATTTTATGAGACAAGATTTTATGTCGCAAGCTATTTGGGAAACTTACGTCGAAAATCTCGAAGCCAGCAATATCCAGTACACCAATGAAGTGCTGTCTCTTCTGCTTGGTGTCAAGAGTCTCGTTACACTTCTTCACCAACCACTTGAACAGCCTGTCAAACATGCCCTTGGACATGGCACCTACGGAGTAGGCGACCTGAGACAAAACACAGCACAATTGAAAACATTTATCGGCAGCAAGAAAACAGTAAAATATGTTGCCCTATACAAAATTAGATTAGTTTTTGCTGCGAATTACTGAATTTAGTGCTGGCTTTAGGTTTTTAATAATTATTTTGAAGTTTTTAAATCTCACCTGGTCCTTGTTTCTGCCCTGGGTCACGAATTCGTTGCCGACCTTGATCCTGGGCTTCAGCAAGTTCTTGTACAAGTCGTCGTGGTTGGTGCCCAGCAGCTTAGCTACACGCTCACCCTCCTGTAGTACAATAAAATAAGTGTTAACAACAAGAAAACGTATATAATTAAAGGTAATTCAAATACCACAATTCTGAAATATATCTAAAACGTTCACTGAAAATTTCGAACAAAATATATATACTTGAAGCCAAGTCTAATTTGGTGATAAAATTCCCACAAAGTCTAGCTGTCAAAACAGTTCTGAGTCAAGGGTTTTGTATAAGTGGCGTTAAAATTGATTGATTGAAAATGATCACGATAAACTACGTCTTACTTTTGCTGATGTGTATTGAGAATGATGTTTCGACTAGTTGTAGAGGGGAAGAAAGGAAGGAATAACTTACAGCAGTGCCATCGGCTTCAGCCTGCTCCTCGCGACCCCTCTGCTTGAACTTCATGCCACCCATGTGCATGACGGAGGCGGTGATCTTGTAGATGTCGTCCTTCTCTTCCTGGGTGAAGCCCAACACGTCGAAGGCTTGCTGTTGAAAGAATCATATATACGCATTAGATTCAGACTACCATAAGACGCAGAGGCGCGGGACGAGGTCTCAGAACCAAATATTCTCACGCAAAATTTGGTAACGGATTGATGTGGGTAAGGGCAATACTTCTCTGACTGCTGTTATTTTAATTAATGATTTTATTCGTTACCTCGAAATTAAAAAAAATACTATCACAAATTGGGGTAATTAGTCGGTGGATATGTGTCCCTCTTTAAGAAGAGACATATTTGTAATCAGGTCTGCTGATATGATTTATTCTTGAGACCTCAGCCCCGAAAACTTGATGATATGATTACAGGTGTTAAGTAGAGTAACACAACAAGATATATTTGTTACAGGCAGAGAGTTAAAATTGTTCCTTTCGGGTTGTCCAATAGGTGTTATTTCTATTGGAGGACGAAAGTCGAAATTAATCAAATATACGAGAGATTTTCCAAAGATTTACTAATTTTGTGCAAGGTGAAGGTAATTAAATTTTAAGAGACGATGGAAAGGACACCCGAGAGAAACAAAGCTCATGGCTGAGGCAACAGTCTTCGTGGCCTTTGAGTCGTCCAGTCTTGGTCGTGGTGGGGGAGGCATATACAAGGGGCATATCCCGCTCTGGGAGCTATACTCACGTCAGTCAACTGACATTCCTCGCCGTCATCCACGTTGGGGATGGTGATCTTACCCTGGGCGACGTTGTAGTAGTCGTAGATGTCATTGGACAACAAACACATTTCTGCATGGAGCAACAAGCAACACTCACTTAGACAATGTGACACGCAAGCAACGAGGGGGAGGGATTCGTTGGTGGAAAGTTGTGGATGGAGCGCAACTTGGATGTTCATTTCGGATTTCATCGTAGAACAAAGAAACGCCTTGTATTTTTTACGTGCACGTATTTTACGAACGTACGTATGTATTTTTTATAAAATCAGTCGAGAGTTTTCAAATATTAAAAATACAAAATAGAATTATTTATTAAGATTTATATATATATATATATATATATATATATATATATATATATATATATATATATATATATATATAAATTGTAAATTTCAAAAGAAAAGTTGAAATGGAAATCAGATTTTTCCTTCTTCAAAATCTACATCCATTTCCCGCGAAAATAGTTTTAATAATTTATCATTTACTCAAAATTGAAATCAAAAAACTAGGTAAGGCGGATAAGCAAAAAAAGCGCAAAACAAGTATTGTGTGAAAGGAAGAGGTAGGTCATTAATATTGTTAGAATATTATCATTGTTAAAAATATTGCACATATTTACAAAATAATTACACAGCTCATCTTGATTCATTGTATCTCTCTTATTTTTACAAATGATTGCAATGGATTCAAGTGACAAAGAATCAAGATGAGAAGAGAGAGAACTCAAAGGATGAGAACATCATATAAACACGATTTTTACTGTTGAATTGGTACATTTAAACGTTTTAATACTTTTAGAAAATTATTTCCTGAAAAAAATTAACATTGACAGTCTCTTATGTTATTTTCACGATAACATTTCTTAAAAAAGTATGAAATAAGGTTTTGTTTCCAATTATTGCCTCTGTTCTTTCCTTTAAAATTCTCACTCTTTTCCAAAAAGCAAAATAAGCACAAAGCCAAAATATTTTGAAGCGTTACGGCGGAGATAAGTATCTCAGCGCGCAACTAGCAAAGCTTTGTGGTTGGAACTGCCCGGAAAAATAATCTTATAAACATACATTGATTTTGTCACTCGTTTATGACACTAGTAGACCAATATACTCTTTTTAGGATACGGCATTTTTTTTAATATAACTAGTTTTTTATGTTACTTGACCATATTCTTGCGAATATAATCAGAAACGTTCTACAATGAATTTATTGTTAAGCATCTATTGTAATTTAAATATGTTAAATGACCAATTAACAATTTAAAGAGTAAACAAGTGATTTTCAGATAATTTTTACACAATATGTACATTTTTAATCTGAAGTTTGCAATATTAGTTTCGTCTATTCAGATAATTAAGTTAATTTGTTAGCACAATGTTTGTAAAAATTCTCGCAGAAATATTTACAGAAATTTGTTTTCTTCGGGCAGTTATTGCGCACTTGATGAAACTAAAAAAAGTATTCATCTAGTGCATTGTGAAGTGAATGATTCACAGAGTAATATTGCGTAATGATATGTGTGTATTTGTAACATGTATAAAAATGTGAAGGTAAATGTAGCGCAGCACCGCAGAAGCCAGAATATCACCACGCTAAAAGCCATTAGCAGACACATGACTGAAGCATATATATAGTACAGAAACAAATACGCCATGAAGCCATTTCAGGTTCAAAGTAGGTAGTGGCATTATATCGTACTTCTTCCACTCGGTGAAGAGGTCTGGGAAGTCGCAACGCTCATGTAAAGTATCAAAAGACGAATTTTCGCTTTTCGTAGTTTATATATATATATATACGTACATATAATCAATCAATGAAAGGTCAAATATGTCTTCCATCACTTTAATTTTTGATTCAATTTTGGTGCTTGTAACTTGATAGCAGAATGCCGTACCAGCGTTGAACCGTTAGAATATATTACAGGTATTTACAAATCTGTACAGTTCGATCTCTCGTTCTGGTCAGTGGTCGTTATCGTCCGTGGGCCGTCGTTCGTGACGTCGCAGGTCCATGCAGAGAGGGGCGTGGCAGTGGAGGAGGGGCGTGCGCAGTATAGAGGAGCAACGCGTCAGCCAGGCCCACTTACATCCGTCGCCAGCATCTCCTCCGAGTCGTTGACGCCCGGGATTCGCGTCTTACCCTGACTTACAAACGGGTATTCCTCGATGTGGTCCGTTAACATGGTTTTCGCTGAGAACCACAACAAACAAGAAACAAGGAAGAAAGAATGTGAGGTGCGACTCGATGCTGGCTTTGCGCCCGACGCGCTGGCTACTGGGCACTGGTTGGCTCGCGTCCCGCGTCCGCACGCCGCTCGCAGGCGGAGAGAGAGAGAGAGAGAGAGGCAATCACACAACACACAGAAAGGATAAAAAACTTGCTACATCTACAGAAACAATGATAGTGGCAGAGAATCAAACACGCAGGCACACGCTGTAGCTACCAAGGCACCAGCTAATGTACAGAAGGAATGCACGCTCAAAGCTACAAAGAGAGATTTGGAATTATTGTTGCAAAAAGGAAAGAAAATGTGCCGAAAGCCCCAGAGAAAATTGAAGGCTAGAATAGAAAGAAAGAGAGCTGAGTAATAGAGAAAAATAGAAATAGATAATAGACGAGTATAGCAAAAAAGATATAGAAATAGTACAGATATATTCTAATACAGAAAGGATGCTTTTACATAGAAAGTTTGCTATACTAAAGAAATAGAGAAAGTGGTTTAGTATACAAGAGTGAAATAGGATTGTGATTTACCGGAGTAGACTAAACTGTGTTTAAAGTATACAACTATGTGTACAAAATAATCAACGTTCTACATTACTAGACCAAAGTACTATATACATAAAACCGTTATATATTATGTGTGTACAATATTTACTATTTTACAAAGAGTAATGACTACTTCTATGTACAAAACAATACAACAACGTTCTAAAATGTTTATACGTTACCAAGAATTGTACAACTACTGTACCAAACTCGATACATGTCTATCTGTACAATACAAAAGGGAGTGCTAAAAGAGAAGTGTATGTGAGTGAGAGAGAGACAGAGAGGCAACTTTGCATCAGCTGTGAGGGATGGCAGCTCTGGCGACAGCTGTTGTGGAAACTGCAGTGGCGGTGGCTACAAGAGCAGCGCCAAGTTAGTGTGAGCCTGTGTCCGGTGCGAGAGGAGAAACTGGCACTGTAAGTACATTCCAGCACAATAGTCTCCCTTCCATAACATTATTTACCGAGATCTGACATGTATTATTTCGTTGCAGAATTTTGGAAACGTGTTGTTGCCTGGAACGTAGGTCTGTTGAACTCACTTTTATTTCATATTTTAGGTAGATACGGATTGGATTCGCTGAGAGATTCAATTTTTTTGGTGCATGAATTTAATGGTGTGTCAATGTGTGTTGGGATATGAGTATAAGTGGGAGGCAGAGAGTTAAAGACATAAGGTTCCCTGTAAGATAGAGGGGCTGGGAGATTGAAAGAGTCAGAGATAGATAGAGAGAAAGAGAGAGAGAGAGAGAGAGAGAGAGGTGGAGAGAGAAATAGAATCAGAGGGTGTGTGCGAAGCCACACAAAAGAGGCAAAGGGCAAAGAGGCGTCGTTAGGCCGAGCGGGGGCTCGGACAGGCGACAGGCGAGGCAGGCTGTTGAGAGGCGCGCGAGGCCAGCGGCGCGCAAGGCAGGCACAGAGGCGAGCCCTCACATCGGCGGCGGCGCGAGCGCCGAGGGGCGTGGCCGGGCAGGCAACGCGCGTAGCGCTGAGCGGCTCAATGAGAGACAGAGAGAGAGGCACAGAACAAAGGCACATGAGGCACAAAGAGGCACAGAGACGCCCAGAGGGCTCGGGAGGGGCTTACGTCGGTGATGGTCATCTCCTCGCCGTCGTCGACGCCCGGGATGCTGGTCTTGCCCTGGGACTGGGCCGGATAGTCGTTCACTTCGTTGGTGAGGAGACAGATTTCTGCGGGCGGGAGCATTCGGGGTCAGCGCGCGCCAGTCCCTGCGGGCGCGGCCGACGGGGCGGGGCGTGGGCGGGGGCCGGGAGGGGGGGGGGTTGGGGCTCGTGTCGTCTGCGCACCGGGTATGGTTGCTGTCGTGGAGAAGGGTCGGGGAGCCGGGGGCGGCGCCGTGTATCGCTCGAGTCTCCGGCGCCGGTCTGTTAGGCTTCTCCGAGCGACTGCCCATGCCGGAGTCGCGTATGGCGCCTCAGAGCTGCCGGCCGAGGTTGGCAGCACTGCTCGGAGGAACCGCGAGCGCGGGGGTGCTGGAGGCGTGCGTGCCGGGCCTGTTCGCTTGCTCGGGTGGGGCGCCGGCTACAGTTCGTGAGAGGGCGGTGGCTTTGGCGACGGGTGGGTGGTAGGTGGGGGGGTGCGCGGATTCTATTCGAGCGGGGTCGGTTGAGATTCGTGTCCGCTTTGTACAGATAGATAGAAAGAGATTCCAAACTACTCAAGAGCACTCGCCCCGCCGAGCGGTGGGCTCCCAGGCCCCGCTCGGCGGCGCTCGGGGTGGGGGGCATGCGGGGTCATGCCTGTCCTCCGACAGACTTACGTCCGTCAGCTGACATTCTTCGCCGTCGTCGACGTTGGGAATTGTCGTTTTGCCTTGTGACACGAAGTAATAATCGGAGATGTCGTTGGATAGCAGGCACATGTCTGCGCAGGAGAGAAAAGCGTGAGCGCGGGCGGAAGACGAGGGCGGTTCCTGCGCGGTGGCGCCTCTTCAACATGTCCCCGTTACAACTGCCTCCTCTAGCCCTTGCACCGGCAAAAACAGTTTCCTAGCCTAAAAGTCGCTTCAGATCGGATAGTTAATACGGTCAGAAAATATACGTTCCATCACGCCCAGTACAAACGGCACGATTCATTGCCCCCACCCAATATGTAATGAGTTGACATTATTTAGCTTGCAGCCTTGTTCATTAAAGCGTATTCAATTTATTACGAACTGCACACTATCATCCACAGCAGCTCGGTTTTGAAAGCAATATGACGTACAAACTCGTCGAGACACGAATACAAAGAAATTTCACCTGACGATTTACTTATGCCGAGTTAAGAGGCTACGTTAGCACCCAATACCACCCCATTTGATAATTGCATCATTATTATCGTTTCCCTTATCGTTATCCTTATCGTTTCCCATCTGCTGCGGTAGAGCACTCACTGATGGTTCTCTGCGGAAATGAAAACTAATTATTCCCTAGTAATTAATTTATTTTCCAAAATATTTTATCCTTGTAACATCTTTTTTTCTTGGAAGTATTCTATACGGACATAACTATTTAGAGTTTCCTGCCGCTTGGTGATGCTCATGTTATTATCATTTTTATTATATTCTTAGCTACCCCCTAAAGAAAGCTGAAAAAGAAAATCTGTTATTGTGTTTCTTATAGAGTACTGCTGTGGAAGGAACTGTAGTCTTGAAATGTTGCTGGTCTGCGTTTCTCCGTGTGCTCTGGATGCCTCCGTGAAGAAACAAAGTCTCCAGTTAGTGTTTCATCATTATGTGTTCTGTATTGATTCACATGATGATTTCATAGTGCATAAAAATGATCTAAATGAGTCTCTTAAAATTCTGGTATTCAAGTAATAAGTGTAAGTTTCTGTTGTGTATGTGTTTACTAGTAACTTAATTTTAAATGTTTCTCATTGTCTTAAAGTGAAATTTCAACTGAATGGGTCTGTGCTTGGGAGTGTGTGCTTACCCTTCAGGCCGGGGACAGAACCGGACATCATTTGGTAGAAAATATGGTAGGAGCGCTCCAGAGACTGTTGGGAGATGACACGGGCCTTCTCCAGCAGATCTGTAAGGTAGAAGTCGCAGTTAGCGAATAATTCGATACGATAAGAAGCTAGACTAGAAGCAGAAGGCAGCAATTTTCACTCTGCATTTTACTCTTTATTATTTCTCTTTCCGAAAGAAAAGTAGTATATATCCATAATTGAGAATAAACATTTGATGTTGGTAATCATCTCAAAATTGCCAGTATTGTAACGTTTTATTTTAATAAAACGTTAGTAATTCTACTTGCAATAGAGTGTTACTGTCTTCCACCTCGAGTCAGAAGTTAAGAAAAGTAAAGTGTCAACTTACAGGTCTCAATATCAGCACCGGCCAGTTTACCAGAGGGGCCGAAGTGGATACGGATGAACTTACCCTAGGGAGGGAGTAAAGAGGCACATGAGTCGCATGGTGTTGCATTTTGACGAATCTGATTTGCGCTTACTTGAGCAATTCGTTAATACTTACGAAGCGAGAGGAGTTGTCATTACGCACGGTCTTAGCGTTACCAAAGGCCTCAAGTACGGGGTTGGTCTGGACGACCTGATCCTCCAGAGTGCCCTGCAAGAGACAAAATCAGCTTGTAAGAGTTTGTACAAAAATGTCAACTTGGGGTGGAAAATCCTCGGGAAAGTGTGAAAAATATGTCACTAAATCCAAAATGTTGTATTGGAAAATAAATAATTTTAAGAACTGTAGAGTGATTTTTTTAAATGTTGAATGTGCTGATGCTAAATACTTATGAAAACTAAAACTTGTACACACCTTCTTCTTTTGTGCTTCTGATACGTCTTCCTTCTTTGTGCTGGCGCCGACAGTGGCGAAGTAGGCAATTACCTTCTTCGTGTTCTCAGTCTTTCCGGCACCAGACTCACCACTGTGGGATAAAAGTCGAGTTAGTGATCGTAGTGAAGTTCTTAAGGAGGAGAGGGAGAGAAATTTACGGTATTAAGTGAACAGAAAGAAAATGCGTTTTTCAGAAACGTACGGGGGAGTATACATCAGCCATGAATGACTTTAGCTGCAATATGACTCGAATTTTCTTGAGGAAGAAATGAATTATATGATTTTATGAGATATTATTCAAATTAAGCTCAGGGTTTTCATGCAATATATTAATAAATTACTATTTTAACAGTAATGCGACGAGTTTTTCGAAATTCATTGAAATGTTTGTTGGGTAAGATATTGGATATCAGGGAAAACTATGCTATTATGCTCAAAAGTACTTACGTGATAAGCATAGACTGGTTCTCGCGGTCTGAAATAGATGAAGAGAAAATATTAGAAATAAATGTTGAAGACAAAAATACGATTCTACTTGAGAAAATGTGTAATTCTACTACTACAGAAGAAATTATTTTCAGTTGCATTTAAACTCAAAAAATAAAGGACGTAACAATATGTTTAATATAGTCTGAATATAAAATAAAAACATTTTATAGTTTATTACAAGTAAACTCATGTTTGTGCCAGTTAACGTGATATTGACTCTAACTTGACCTTGCCCATATAGTTGACTTATTACTTTTTACCTATCTATATTTTTTTCATTATAATTTCAATACTCCTGTTTTACCGGTTAATGAAGTACGTGTATATCTTTGATAGCGGTTAATGTATTGAATTGAATTGAATTGGCCTTATTTTACGTGGCGAGACATGGGCACATCAAGGCCGCAACTTTCGCCCTGACAACGCCAATTTGCTACGCTCCTTTACATGCTTAGCAGAGAAAGGAGTAAATTTCATTGGGCGCTGAGAAACAGGCGCATTTGACATAAGCTCAGAAGGCGATCATTTAGGCCTGGTATTGCTTTTACATGCCAAGTAAATCTAACTAACATGGACAGCGTCTTTACTTCCTCCGAGGAAGGCTAACGAAGATTTTGTTCGCCTAAAAATCCACGGCTTCGATCGCGTTGAACCCGCGACTTGGGTATAACTGTCCGTCACAGTCTTGCATGTAGTCCTTTGTATAGTCTTATCCAATATCTTGATTTACGATACTCACTGGTCAACATGTTGACGTAGGCACCGTCAGAGATGGCAAAGATGTGAGGGGGCACCTCATTCCTCCTCTTGCCACGGTACATCTTGGCGCAGCGGAGAGTGTAGACGGGGAAGCGCTTGTAGGGGTTGATGGCGACGCAGAACAAGCCGGAGTAGGTCTGTTGGGAAGCATAGCGAACAGTGAGATATCTCGAAAGCAAAGTTCGAGACCGAGCCCAGACGCCGCCCTTTACTTACATAGTTTCATTTTGGCAAAAAAAAACTTCTTTGCTCGAAAAGGAGCATAAATATGTTTTTTTAGTGTATAGAGAAAACATACACGACATTTTGCTTACGATTTTCTGGTGGAGCAAAATGAGGTTGTGCGTATTGTTAGAAAAATATTTACGTTTTTGAGAAATGAAAATAATTAAGTGAATGCTTTTATGTTCTTTTTAATTAAAAAACAAACAAAACAATATGTCATTAAGACATATTACATTTTCATACTTCTGCGTCGTCGGGTCCACGGTCGTAGGTAAGATCACGTGTGATGACCACTTTCGAAGTAGAACTCCGCAAGTGACCACGACGCGAACGATATCTTTGGACAGTCTCATTCAGTCCAAATATTTTACATAAAGACACGCACACATATTTAACATTCAGTAACCACTCATCCGTAAAAGAGACGAATAACATAGTTTGGACAGTCTGCTTCAGTCCAAATAGACGCCATGCTCATTCTCAGAGCCGGAGTCGGGAAATTGCACAACACACACACACACTCACACACATTCATGAAACAGTAACAGACATTGAAACACTCGGACAATTGGCAGGTCCGAGGGCGGCCGTAGACAGGGAAAACACTCGAAAGACACGAAGAGGGCACGGCGGGTAGCCGGCCGAGACTCCAGCGTTGGCCGTGGGAGCCCCTACAGGGTCCAAGCACTGCACACGGGGCGGCTCCACCTGGAGGTGGTGGTAGTGGGGGGCAGTGGGAGGGCGGGTTGGGGGGGTGGGACTCTTAGAAGCTCTGGTCAGTTAACTGGAGTGAGGCAGCACCGAAAGAAAGAGAAAGAAACAGACACAGCACCGGAGCAAACGAAGGTAAAACATGGAACAAAAAAAGCATGCACGCGAGAAAGGCGATCACAGGGCGTAACCTCTGATGGCCTCTAATTTCTTTGAACTATGACAATTACACAAATAATTAAAACAGGTATCCGAAAACTATCAACAAAATTTTATAAAATGCATGCTAAATTATGTTTTAGAAGAATTTATTTTGTTAAGTTGATACGAAACTACGTAATTTTATGAGTAGTGTTATCAACTGTATCTTTTTCTAAACAGAATATCATCAGAAAATGTTGAAGTCGAATGAGAATAATTTTGGATACAAACTTACTTCGAAAACAAGCTTAAAGAGAGCACTCAGAAAACTCAGAGAGGGAAGAGAAGACGATGGCGGCGAGCAGTGGCGTGCAGGGGCATGCAGGCGGGGTAGGGGCATTCACGGGGCAATCAGAGGGCATCCAACAGGGCAGCCTTTGACCTGGGCGTCAGCAACTTACGTAGATCAGCTTGTGGTAGTACCGCTGCTTAAGGTTATGCAAGACAGAAGCGTCATTAAGGTACGTGAGGTTGGACATATCCTCGCATTTCTCATACTTGGGGGGGTTCACTTGAGACACTTGCTCCTTCTTGAAGTTCTTGTCCTGTGGGACAGAAAGCGACGCGTGAGTTAGAAGGCTAGAGGAGAGCCACTTACGTAGATTAGTTTGACGTAGTAGCGCTGCTTCAAGTTGTGCAGAACGGCTGCCTCGTTCAGGTAGGTCAGGTCGGCCATGTCCTCGACACGCTCGAACTTGGGTGGGTTCACTTGCGAGAGCGCCTCTTTCTTGACCGTCTTGTCCTGGGTGACATGGTGTGTCAGTGGGTGAAGGTGGTATACCCCACCCGCCCACCCCTGTTCTCTTGTTTGCTTTTCGAACCGGCCGTCACTCCCACTGTTTAGCGATCCCAACGTATTTTCTCACCAGCCAGTCGTCACAGAATAACATTATTTCCATGATTGTTTCAAAATTTATCAAGACTTAATATTTTAAAAAAAGTAAATACGTGGAAGGAAAGTACTGTCCCAACCGAAGCATTATATTCTTTATTTATCATTCATCAAATTAAACCTAATCCCAATTTAATGTCATTCATTCAATTTATTCCCATAGTAATATAGAGTTCATGATCCTACCCGTAAATTCCTCAAAATATTTGCCGTTCCCGGAAGAGAATGTGGTGATCCACAGCGGCTCCGACTTCCAGGGCGAAACCTGCTGTGTGTAGCTTGTGGAGAAAGCAGACGTGTAGTAACGTTTCTACAGCCACACAATAGCTTACGCTAATCAAATATATGAGGCAAGGCATTATCACAAGGAAATGCACAAAACTAATCTATGGTTTTTTAACGTGTTGCGTGCTGTTTGTACTGGCAAATTGTAAAGAGTAGATTAGGTGTTTATAATTTTTGAATATTGGAAGTAGGATTCTACGGAATTCGTGAGAGTTTTTTATGAATGTGACTTATAGTATTTGCATTATACTTGTTAAAATTTTGGGAAAATTATTTGTTTGGTTTTTCTACATTTTAATTAAATGTACATTTTTGAATTCATATCACTGAATATTATAATTAATTGTTGATATATATTAAATATAAGGGTTGAGTTCTTTGAAAAAATTAGTGTTTTACTTTTATTGTAATGTTTAGGTGTTCGCGTGTAGTAGACACATATTTTACGTCAATTAGAAATAAATTGTATGTGGCGACATAATGTATTGAAAAATATCGTTACATTTATTGAGACTTGTGGTTGTATTATTGTGTACATCTGTACCGAATATCATTTAATCAGTTCTGTAAAGTGGCTCTGTTTGCTATATCAGAAAAATGTAATAATCAAAAAGGTTTATGACTGGCGTATCGTCTCGTGTATGTGTGTCTGCTGGTTTGTGACGCCTGGGGCGCCAAGGGCCTTACCTCGCCGCCCGGCAGAGACACGGTGACGAGGTCACCCTTCGTGCCCTTGATCTCGCCGAGCAAGTAGCCTTCCTTCTCGTCCGGCACCCAGCACGCCTTCTTCGCATCGTAGGGCTTGGTCTGATCGATGCGCTTCTGCTCAAGAGACACGAACAGGTAGGGAGTGGGGTCGGGGTCCTCCCCTTCCTGTTTCACAACCTTCGGCATGCTGATGCGGTGGCGGACTAGAGAATCGGGCTAAGCGAGGCACGGAACAGCCCTAGAGCCTTCCTGCAACACAGAACAAGCACATATGATTAGATCACTGTCGGTTCCCTTCACATTTCTTTTAGCAAAGACTATTTTCCAACGATTCTTGATTTTTTTCTACGCCATATTTTACGTAGTTTCTGCCTAGCGGCAGTTTCAAAACATAAAATAATTGTTCTTTTGGACTAATAAATAACTAAAACAATGATTCATTAGATTTGAATTCGAAGTTGAAATTTTTTACGAATTTTTAGCTACAGAATTCAGCTTCTTGGAAATTGTAATAGTTCAACATTTATTAGATTTTGTAAAAGAAAAATCTTTTTTAATAATATCAAATATTTTATATTAACATATAGAATCGCTTGGAAAAATAACAACATTTTAAATAAATAATTGCGCACATGTACACTACAAACACACACACATGTACAAACACATTCATACACACAGTGCAGAAACGCTGTTAAGTAGTTCCCAATAGTATCTATATATGTGCTCATAAACGCCACGCCGCTTTAACAGGGTCTGGGATTTCCACGGTCAGCGAAACAATAAAAAGAGGGTCCGTACCTACAGAAAGATCTAAGAGTCTGTTCGAGAAAAGCCGTTCTTTCCCTTCACCACACCTTGGTTCTCACCTCGTCACTGCTTCGGACACAAGCAACGTACTCGGGACGGCGCTGTATATTTGTATAGAAGATTCCGGAAACAAAAGCAAACAGGTCCGCGTGCGGAGGGGAGGGGTTCGAACGGGGCCAGGCGAGGGCGGGCAGGGGCGGCGGGAGCGCCTTAAGCGGCAGCCGCGAAGCGCACACGCGCGTATAAATACACGCGCGTCGACAATCCCGCGCGACGCGCAGACAAAGGCTATATTAAGCTCTGGCAAGCGAACGGTCGCGGCGCCTTCTCCTCCACTGCCGCCGCCGCACCCGCCACTTCGCCGCCCCGCCCCTCACCACCCACCGTCGCCGCTGCCGCCGCCTTGCGCAAACCAGCGCTCGCCCGCTCCCTGACACTGGACACCGCTTCACAGAAATAGCGCGACGCCCCCACCCAGCACGGCGCGCGAGGCCCGGCTCGCAACGAAGTCATCCTCGCCTCCCACTCGGCAAGGAAACGTTTCCTTTACTACTCGCAGGTCGAACTCCCTCAGACCCCCACACTCTCGTGTAATAATTAACCAACTAACATTTATTCGTTCGGATACCAACGAACAAAAATTAAAACGTTACAGACAAGCAAAACCAAATTCAGTGAAACAAACACGATTAAGTTTCTAACCCCGCCAAGGAAATGATCAAACTCCCTGATTTCCCCACACTAATTTGCAATAATTATCAACTATTCAACATTTTTTCGTTCGGAAATTTGATGCAAACGAACAAAATATGAAAACGTTACAAATATGCATATCAAATTAAATGAAAAAAAACACGCATTAGTTTAATTAAAACTCTGAAATCCAGTTAACGTAATAGGGACTCGAGATTCACAAACTTTTTTCTGTGTCAGAGATTCATATCAGTCCCATTAAGATTTTACCCCCCACCCCACAGAAACGAGAAATCCTCATCGTCGCAACTCATACCCTAATGAGCTGGTTAATTATGTCGAAAAGTCGCGCGCGCCAGTCGAGCTGAAAGGGCCTTTCTTGTGTCGGTCAGTGAGGCTGCAGACGGCAGACGAGGACCAGCGCTGTTCCCCGAGCGGAAACGAGCGGCCTTGTGCCGGGGGCCTCTGTGCGTTTGATCGCGCCTCTATTTCGGGAGCCATTTAACAGCTCCCGCTTTCGCTACCCCCGCGCGGAGATGCGCACCCCTGCCTCCGCCCCCGCCCCCGCCGCCCCGTCGACGCCCGCGCTCGCGTGCCCCGCGGCCGCGCGTGGAGTGCGTGACGCACGAGGCTAGGCCCACGTCATCGCCGACGCGGCGTTCGCCACAACTTCCCGGGTAACTGGGGCTGACGCTTTTATGTCTAAGGGTCTGAGACAAAGCAAGGAACGTTCGTGGAATTTAACTATATCTGGCGATTGAATAAGAAAGTATATAACGAAAAATCGTGATCAGTGAAAGTCAGTTTTTAAATAGTTTAACTTCAACAAACACTGCAATCTCTGATAGAAATTTAATTATTTACGTTTGATAATTGAATAAAAAGCAAGTAATTGAAAATTGTCAAAGTCAAAGATAGTGTCTTAATTGTTTAATTTCAATATAAAATCTTATTCAAGATCTTATCTTTAAACTCATTATATCGAATTTCACAATATACGCAATTTTTCATCATACCTTAGCTTCCCTATGCAAAGTGAGCGAACCTTCATCTCGATTATTCATAATAAAACTGAGTTATCTTTGCAATATTAACATTTTAGTGTGCTTCCATCTACTGTCCATACTCTGACTTTCTCAAATAGTCCAAGTTATGGCGCATAATTGTTCCCAATATATATATCGTCTTTATGTACCCCATTTACACTCTTTTTGACAAAAATGTATATTTTCTTGTATCTTGCAAACGTTTCTACATGAGTTACCATGTTTTGCACCCCAACTTATAAATTAATGATTGGATTTAAAAACATTGAAAATAAATACAAAATGTTCTCTTTGAAGTTTGAAGGGGTCTGTTTTTGTGAATCCTCGCTCCTCCCCGCCCCCAGCGGCGAGGGACGGCGCAGGCTGGACGGGTTGGGAGCGGAAACGGCAGCGCGGGCGAGTGCGTCCGACGCCGCTGGGCATCAAGGGCGCGCTGTGGCCGCGGGAGGGCTCTCCGCCGAGCACGCACGGGCGCACAAGGAGCGCTCAGACGCCCGACACGCGGCAGATGTCGGCCAGCCACCGGCCGGCGCCCAAGGCTCGCGGAGGGGCCCGGCAGGCCGTCTTCCGGCGTCGGCCCCTTCAGCGGAGTCAGAGTTATTTTGGCGGCGCGCAAAATGCAGGAGGGGTTCCAGCTAATATTTTCGTGCCGCCGAGAAATTGCGATGAAATGCTGCGACTATTAACGGACGGGAGAGAAAGTGTGGTAGGTGGTGGTGGTGGGGGGGCCTTCTGCCCCCTTTCCCCCCTCGCTTCCCTCTCCCTCACGCGCGTCGGTGCAGACGACGCGGAGACGAGCGGTCGTGGGGGTGTTGACGAAGTGCCAGAGGTAGTAGACGGTGGACCTGAGACATGATACACATGGGTGGCGAGAAACTTGCCACCGGGAAATAAACGAGTTTTTGATTTTCCTTTGTCACTGTGTGGTGCCGTTATACATTTTTTGTTACTGCCCAATTTATTTATAGAAAACACAAGAAAGTTACCACGATAATAATTAAAAAGATTGAAATATATTATTTTACCTATAATTATTTTGCCACGTGTAGGATATAATGTAAGTTACATCATAAAAAAGGCAAACGTGGAATGATTTATTTATTTAGGTAGAGTGTAAAAAAGGAGCATCATGATAATCTCGAGTTATGTTTGATATTAAATCGATAGTAAAAGGAATTGATAAAATAGGTTTTAGAATTTTTTATCCAGTTATTCGTTTTGCACAAGATGCAAATATATAGGGTAAAAGAGCGAGCAAAAACGAAGTTTCATTTATTTATTTAATGCAAGATCAATTATTTATTCGAGTTGTAAACAAACGAGCAATGGAAGTTGCCTGAGTAATGCGTGGTGTTCGGTTTGCTACTCGGTATGCGGCCTCGGCAGGCCAGCAAATCCGTTACTCGAGAGCATTGAGGCCCAGGCGTCTGCGGTAACCTCCTTGGCTGCGCCTTCGCTCCGTTTGGCAGCCACATCAAAGTGCGCGGCCGCAGCGGGCCCACACCCCCGCCTCGCCACGCCACGCCTCGCTCCGCTCCGCGCGCCTGGCGAGGCGACTCGCGAGAAAATAAGCAAATTCCTCCCCCGCCCCCCGGGTCTCCAATAACGTCCCGCCCCTAAAATTAAACAGCCTCACCCACTTGTTTATCTTTTTCTTTGAAACGAATATGAAGTTGGGCCTTGTCATCGAGAATGTTGGCGTGACGCCGAAGTGTGAGGATATTTCGATCGTACGTTGCTGGAGACACACCGATACTTAGATGGGAGAGACTTGCTACCTGCGATGGGAGGGGACTCAGTCATGTGATGTTTACTAAGGATCAGTTTTATTGTTGTTCTAGAGAAGGTGAATAACCGTTTGCTTTTGAAGTTACTAGATAATTCAACTGATAAGTAATCAATTCAATCGACATTATATGAATTAATCATTTTAATATTTAGTTATTGTTATATAATTTAATTCCAATAATTATTGGCGATCTTAAATAACATTTTGTTAAATAAATTCAAGATTCATATATAATGTATAGTAAAGAATACATTTGTAAAATTTTGAATCAGCGAGTAAATAAACATTACATCCTATCATCACGACTAAGAAATGACCTCCATCTACTTTTGGATTGGGCGGACGGAGTGAGTCACTTAATCTGCATCTTCTCCATTAGGCCTCGTTTCCGGATGAGTCTCCCAATGACGTAACCTCCCGGTAGATAGCTTCACAGTCGGTCGGCCCCTACAGACGTGCTAAAATCAATAAGGCAGAAATGAACTAAATCGAATTGAAGTCACCCATCAATCGACGCGAGTATTCGACAAGGTGTATATTTAACCCGCACTTGCGGGCATTGGCAAATAAGCCGCGCATTCCTGCGGGAGGTGCGGGAGGAGTGGGTCACGTGAACACCGGTCACGTGAGCACGGAGGGTGCGGGCGAGACGCGAAACCCTGGCGCCGTGCCTGCTCCCAAAGCGCGAAGTCCGTTGGAGCCAACTGCCCTGTTGTAAAGATATTAGTAAGAATCGCGTATCTCCACAACGCACGAAATGCCCAATTACCGCAAACGTTGAACCCGTTTCCTCTCTGCAGCTATCTCTTCGCTCCCCTTGCCAGACCCGGAAGACGCCGGTCTCCGATGGCAGAGACTCACATCAGGCATATCTCCTTTCTAACCGATTCCCACATCATTACCAGCTCCGCCTAGTTGG